TTGCAGACAGGTGTTGCCGAATGGCACTCACTGTTTAAGAAAGAGGCGTTTTGGATGTTTATCATTATGCTACGTCTCAACACGTACCTCTCGCCCAATTGAGCGATTGAGCAGTCCCCATTAGTCGGAGAGGATGTCCCTCATTCACCATATTTGAAACGCCTTGCACTCATCTGCAGCTCTATTTCAACGCATATCTACTTCTGCTGACTCGCCTTCTATTGTACATTTTGTATACAGGGTTTTATTTCTTTTTTAGATTTGGCGAGACAAATAGTATTTTATTGGTAAAATCAGGACAGATCGGCATTTAACAGTTTTCGGTTTATTGTGAAATATTCAGATAAAGTTCAAACGCAATTAAAAACTATCATTTTCAATATATAAANATATATATATCTGAATTTGAGCAAATTTTATTTGTGGAACAAATATTAATTCGAAGAGGTTCGTTGGTCGGAGCAACGATTTTTACCACGTCCCCATGAACAATTCATAAGCAGAAATGAAAATTGAAAGAATGTGCAGTTGGTTCACGTGTTATTGTTGAAACTGAACGCATAAATAGTTCAATTCAAAAAAATCTTTTTTGTGTAATGCCCAAAGGTTTATTTTGTATCCGGTTTATATATGCCGAATTTCTAAGAAATAGAATAGCTTATTCAAAAATCACAATCATTTTAAAAATGTAACGCGTTAAGTACAAATGAATAGCTTTTCCCTTTACTAAGGTGAAAAATAAATTGTAATATAAAATAATTCAAATGTATAACAAGAAAACTAAAGTGTTCTAAAGTTTAGAGTTTCATTTTCCTATGCTTGTGATTTTTGCACTTTCAGCCCAAGTACGTCGTTATTTATATTATTATATCATATTTCGTTTCGATTGTTTTTTACATAAACTTGTAAACAACGTGTAAATGGTAGAAACAATAAATTGTTTAATTTTCCTACTTACAGTTAGTTGATTTACGATCCAGATTTCACGCTTACAGCTCATCATCAGGTTGAAATTAGGATCATTGAAAACAACTTACTGTAAGTAGGAACTATCTTTTTAAAAAGACGTTTAACGGTTTCAAATATACTCGATTCTGGTTTTGGGGTGTTTAATAAGAAAGCCATCTGCGTAATGGCCGTTTTTTGGGACCTGTTCGTTAAAGTCATCGTGAGACAATTAGAGTAATCATACGCAGCTCGAAAAAGTATTCAAAAAGCCGATTTGTTGTGAGATTCCGAGGTAAACGGATTGAAATAGCAAAAATAAAAATATTATAAATATTCCATCTATTATTAAACATCTTATAAGAACACTTTTCCAATTTGCCCAAAGTGAGTCCTAACAGAGTTAGAAGAATGAGAGAAAAGCAGGCATTCATCATTCATTTTTTGCACTTTTTCGAAGAATACACAGCGAATTCGGCAAAGGGTTGAACCAAAACCCCTTAGATAATTTTGTGCATTGTTAATATTTTGCCGATATATACTTCCTTTACACAAAACTAGCCCTATCTTTTTCAACTTGTTCAACTTAGTTCCAGTTATTACTGCCATCAAAATTACTTTATAAACCTAAATAAATTATTTTTTTCCCTTTTTCCAGTCTTTATACATATTTTTCTTCAAAAAGTTGCATTAGTTTTGTACTAAGAACTAATATATATGGATTTGCTTAACATTCATTTCTAACTGTTCTAAATGAAAATGCATACTTTTTTTAAAAAACTATATATTCTCTAACTGTAAATATATATTGTTACATATATAATTTATAAAATATGATGACGTTTCAATTTGAAAGCATTCTGATAAATTTTGACAAATGTTTAATAAATAAGGAACATTTTTCTGCCACATGGATGTAATTATAATTTTTTCTATGATTATTTATGAAAGTTGTTCACGAGGTGTGCAAAGTTAGTAAAATAATGAAACCGTAAAGTTTATTGAAGTTACAGTGTAAAATTGTCTTAACCACCATGTTTTATGGAATTTGTACAAAGTATTGTTATATTATTATTCTGAATGTAATATATTACAGTAGCGCATTTAATTTCTCCCGTTATTGTAAACGTTATTGTAGGGTTCAAAATAATTTAAAAATGCCTGATATTCGATCTGTTAGCGAGATAAAGGTTTAAGATAGGATTATTACAATGAAATTAAACATTATCGTGTCGAAATTTGTGAAATTATACAAAATAATTTATACTAGCGAAGGGCGAAATTGCAGTTGGACTATTACGATTTTCTAGCTTCTTTCTCCTAAAGAAACGACAACCAGCTGAAATGGAACACCGGGGAAGATCAACGCTGACAACTGTTGATCACCCAGGACAGAAAGTAACCGTATACGCTTAAAATTAAACTAATACACATAGTAAAAACATACACAACTAAAAATACAAATTCAAATTTTCCGACCGATGTGTATTTCTATAAAAATTTATCTCGAATATTTTTTAGCGCGTTGAAACGTATGAAACAACCCTAGTTTAAAATTCATAGCGGTAAACAATTTATTTAATTACAAAACGCATTTTATATTTTACTTATTAAAAATTGTTGAAACTGTAAATCCGTTGTAGACTCAAATTGTTTCCCACCTTTCGGTTTAGAAGAGTTTTTACGTTATTAAAACTTTCTACTCGACAACTTCACCATTTCGGAAATTATCCGCACTTTAAACTCCCCTTTTTAAACTTCTTGATTAGTTCTGAACCGTTTGGTTTTAGTTTTGAGTTCGGGCGGAGATGGGAGAACAGACGTAAAATTTAGTTTTCGTATGCACTCAACACAATAGTCAACATTCTAGCGTTAAAATACTACACAATATATAATTTACAGGTTGAGCCTAATGTACAGTAATTTTGTAGAAAAAAACCGGGTTTCAAACAAAGCCGATCTTTTTAAAATATTTCCGTATAAATTAGTCAGAACTAATCGGATCATTAAATTAGATGGAAAAAAAGACATTGTTGACATCCATTTTTTAACGACTTCAATGTAAAACTATTAATTTAGGCATTGGGGTAGTTATGTTGCTTACATAAAATTTCCGGTTTTTCTTCTGAAAATAACCATAATCCGGCCGCGTCCTTATTATTATTTTACTTAATTTTAAAAGAACGGCACTGAACAAAAGCAATAATTTATAATCTGAACAATAACTTTTTTTAAACATTACAATATCGATGTGTTGACCTAAAACATGATTTGGGATGTTTCAAAATTACTCAACTGGAAATTACTATGTTCATAAAGATGTTGCAAATCACGCAAATGTTTTAACGATAAAATTTTCTATTCTACTGAAGTTGAGAATAACAGACTTACATCATGTTTAAAAAAATTCGTATTTAGCATGGTCAAGATACCACTTATTTATCTTGAATATTTACAGTTGACTAGAAATATAGAGATTTTCAATACCAATTCAGTTTTTGAAAAGTATACAGAATAATCGTTATCTGTATCTATTAGAAAACGTATTCTAACATGGGCAAACTCAATGAATAATACTAGTATACTTAGAATTGACCGGATAAGATACAAACTGCGACCGGCCATGGACAAGTCTACAAACACAAATCAAACTAGCCAAGACAAGTGAAATTAATAAAGTTTGGAATGCAGTTTCAAGGACTTTGTCGGAATCGATAAAGTAAACGAATCTACGGGAAAATAGTAGAAATAATTATGAAGATTAATTTTTGTTGTAATCGTTGTTTAAAACATGTCAAATTGTCGGATCTTTACAAATCACAGATAATTCCTTAAATAAGTGGATTAATTTTATAGATTATATGAAAGTATCAATAGATTATTGTGAATGAAAATTTTCTGAAGTTTTTTTTCCAAACAAACATGACTCATGTTTGCATTAAGGCAGCATTATAAGGCAAATAATAAGAAAATGACTAGCATTTTGAGCATAAACGATCTCGTAGACACCTAAATATAGATGAATTTACAAATTAATTTAATAGTCATTAACTATGTCTGAATTTTTATGTAAATTGGGGGTCAATTGCAAAGATACGAAACGTTCGAAGCTTTTAACTTTGAAAACGTGCCATTTATCTAAAATATGCGGAACATGCGAAAAACATCCTTATGTTAATGCTCTTACATTTTGGTAAAAATATTTTTTGCTGATGTTAAAGTACTGATAAGTTAGGATATAACTCCGGAGTGTTTGAACAGAATATTAATTACAAAATAGGCTAGGTAAGTACCGATTTGTTGAAAATAGTAAGAATTAATGGATTAAATGCAAATGTAGAGGCGTAAAAACCTGCAGTGGGAAAACAATCTAACCGTTGGGAATAATGGACATGAATGGGCTTTCAATTCACCGATTTTTTTTTTTTTTTAATTTTCAGTTAATTCGTCAATTCCGAGTTTCGATCATTACAGGCCGTTATCGCTTTTACTATTTTCTTTTATTAATCGCAAGTGAGTTATGACAGCATGTGCATGAAGCCGAACCAGGTGGAAATTGCCGTTCGCGAAATGCGACTGCATTAAAATCGCCGGTCAAATCGTCATAGCCCACGTCCCTCCGACGTTTAATCGTGCGTATTTTTATTGTTTTAATAATAACCATGGTATTTAAATAGAAATCAAACCGATTCGTAATGCATATTTATTGCAAATCGTTAAAAGCTCAAATTATGCATGCCATTGCGATATCATTATCTTAAAATGGGTTTACGTTTAATTTTTAATTGAAAGTATTTATGCTTTTGTTAATTTATGGATTGGGGTTTTCAAAACTAGCAAGACGCGTGATAGATAAACAAATTGTATATTTGACGTAATTCCACGGATAATTATATTACGAAATGTTATAAATAAGCACGTCTTTATATTGATTTTTTTTTATCTAAAAAGAGATATAGATATTTATATATGCCTACGTTTGAAACTCGAACGGGGGTTGTTTTTCCCACGTGGTCGCGAGCGGAGGCGGGACGAAAGCCACGTGTTTTGCTTACCTCTCGCTTTTCCGTGTGTAGTCGCCTCCAGGCCGGTATGTTTGCTCCACGGACGACGACACTAAGTCCCAAACTGACGGCTCGTTATCAGGTAAACAAAAAAAAAAATCCGAAAATAAAAAAACGAATAAAAACCGGTTCGCGAACTGGCGATGTCGTTGAGTCGAATCAGAGACCCACAATACGGTCGGCACGTGAAAACATGTGATATTTTATTGACAGCCTGTCATATAAAAGTGATACGTTTGTCAGTGAACGCTCGAAGCCGCCTCGGCGATAACTGAACAAGTAATGTGAAGAGGGAAGGAGGCTACTCCGGGTGGGGAGCGATGTGTCGAGGACGAGGAAGGCTTCGCCCCTCTTCGCCAGACTTCGCGATACCTCGCGGACCCTCGTCGGGTTCCGGCCGGCTTCGCCATCACCCCTTCCAGCCGCGACAATGCTAATTATGAACCACCCCCGCACACCCTGCCAAAACACAAACTCCCCTCCAGGATCGTATCTTCAACACTAACATTTGATCTTACCCCACTTAAACCTCCCCTTCAACACCTACGGATCACAAAACACGTCTCCCCCTTCTTTCCTTTCCCATCAAATCACAGTTCACACTTCCGTTTCCAACCTTTCCCCTGCCAGACTTTTAATATTCATCTAATACATAAATAACTATGTGCTATGTTAAATTATGTCTAATATTTTCATAATTATACCCGAAGCCACATTCATGTCTGTTAGTGTGTTAAAGACGAACGTTAATCTATAACATCATTATAATGTGTTTTCCTTCACTTACCACTTCGGGTCCCCACCTTAACATTAAACACTCATAAGATAAAACATAATAATGAACTATAAATATCCTTATGGATTCTTGTGTGGTGATTAGTGACCGTTAATCGATAATTATTCAGAAATCGTGAGATGCGGTCTGGTGTGATGTAGGTTTCAGAAAAACATTTTCTTTATCGTGCCAATGTTTCGATCTTTATTGTGATCATCTTCATGGCCTGGGATTTACAAACATTGTTTACGTTTAACAAATACATTTAGGAAGTGGAAAAGTGAATTTATACAATGCAATTTTTTTTCTTTGATTGATTATATTTTGATATTGATTATATTTTGATTATATTCTTTGAATATAAAAAATATATTTTGCATTGTATAAATTCACTTTTCCACACCCTAAATGTATTTGTTAAATGTAAACAATGTTTGTAAATCCCAGGCCCTGAAGATGATCTCAAAAAAGATCGAAACGTTGGCAAGATAAAGAAAATGTTTTTCTGAAACCTACATCACACCAAACCGCATCTCACAATTTCTGATTACTTATGGATTCTGTTTTAAAAATAATCAAATGCACATACTCTTCGTTGACGTGAATACAATTTGAAATTAGCGAAATCTGTAAATTAATGGAGTGATAGGCTTAAACTCAAGAGAACAACCCGTTTTTCGATATGAGTTAGAGTGCAGAGAGAAGGAGACAGAGAGAAAGAGAGAGAGAGAGAGAGAGAGAGAGAGAGAGAGAGAGAGAGAGAGAGAGAGAGTGAGGGGGAGAGAGAGAGCCACAAAACATAGACAGACTCATGGGCAACAATAAGAATCAGGGTGACGGAAAAAATTTTAAAAAAGGCAGGTAGGAAGATAGGACTGGACTAGTTAATTGTGGCACAAGATTTCACAAGTAGGGGTGAGGGAGAGAGAGAGAGAGATGATAGACAGACTCAGGGGACTCAGGGGTCAGAAATAAGAATCAGGGTGACGGACACAATTTAAAAAACAAGGCGGAGAAAGAGAGAGAGAGAGAGAGAGAGAGAGAGAGAGAGAGAGAGAGAGAGTCAGGGAACGAGTGTGAGGGAAAGGAATCGATGGATAAGATAAACAGAAACCCCATATGAATAGGGCCACATAAGAAGAAGAAAATAAATTTTATTTTGGGGCTCAAAGCCCCCTTGAATAACAAAACTACACAATAGAGACGTTCAAATAGAGAAGAACAATTACAATTGCAAAGTTACAAAAATGCAGTACAAAATATGTTCATATTAAATTCATACCCAAAACGTACTGTATAAACTTACACATTACTGATACACTTACACATCCTCATGTACTTGTAAAATTTAAACAATGTTTATAAATCCCAGGCCATGAAGATGATCTCAATAAAGATGGAAACGTTGGCACGATGGAGAAAACGTTTTTCTAAAACCTACGTAACACCAGACTGCATCTCACGATCTCTGAATAATCCTTAACTAACGGTCACTAAACACCACACATATTATACAATGTTTTGAATATAAGAAGACTCCTTCCACTTACAAAAATAAAGATAAGTGATCTACGAATAACCCGTATTTGATTTCTAACACTAATAAAAATTGTACTGGTATCCCTATTTATTTAGTAAGGAAGATAGTAAAACATTTATTAGTCGAGTGTCAAACTGTGCAACCCATGAGGGCGAGTTTTTGCCTCTCGAGTGATTTAAAGACACTAGAAGATTGCCATTGACGTGAATCACTTTTGTGACTCTTAAATTTATAGGGACTTTACAAATGATTTAGTATCGATTCTGTTAAATTGGCTTTGTAATGCTTTAACTCGTAATAATTGGCTGAGAATACTATTTTCAGGAAAATTTGATCTAAGATTTCAGATGAGATAAAATACAGCTTAAGTTTACAATCAATTAAAATGTATAAAAAATTAAAAATAATAACCATGTGTGGTGATTAGTGACAGTTAATCGATAATTATTCAGAAATCGTGAGATGCGGTCTGGTGTGACGTAGGTTTTAGAAAAACATTTTCTTTATCGTGCCAATGTTTCGATCATTATTGAGATTGAAGACCGTAAAGATGATCTAAATAATGATCGAAACGTTGGCACGATAAAAAAAAAATGCTTTTCTGAAACCTACATCACACCAGACCGCAGATCACTATCTCCGAATAATCATTAACTAACGGTCACTAAACACCACACATTTACATGTCGCCGGTACACTTCTTAATAATATGATCGATTTTCATAATTTATTGATTATGGTATCATGACTGAACATCATGGAGATGTATATTTTTGTTTTATTTTACAAACTCAGACATTGTTTCTGATATGTTTTATTACAAAAAAATTGTTGGGCTAAAATAATAAAATAATACAATAATTGTTGGGTTAAAAACAATTGTTTTACAAAATAGGTTTGTGCGATATTTCCAAAATGGTAGACTTCAGTGTTTGTTCACAAAAACCTAATTGTCGATACAATCTTAGATATTAAATCCCTTATGCTGCTTTAATTGCTCACAAATTCTCAGAAACTTCTGAAAACGAACAGCTCTTTGTAGCAGCCGCGGTAATTACCCTGATACAGATATTTACTCAAAACAATCGGTGCAAACAAATATGTGTTGTCGCAATCATTAAACTGGTAATTCGTAATGATTACGTTTACGGACTAAACGTTCGTTTCCTCCCGGATTAATTACAAATTTTAAACCGAAAGGCCTTCATTATAAAAGGCCTCCAATGTAAATAATGCTCCAGCCTGGGGCTAATAAGGGCCGAATGAGTTAATTTGCCCATTAAATACTCGTAATGAGTTGAATCAGACGTGTTCAGCATTGAGCTATGCTAATCACCTTTTCGCTTAAATCACATTGTAACCACGACATCGTGTTTTTCTACGTAGGTGTTTAATACCAGTTCAAATTAATTGATTTTATTCGATGAAATTGCAACAAAATATCGAATAGCGTGCATGAATATTTATTTGAAAGGCTAAGGTTTTTAGACAGGTTTAATTAGCTTCATTCACAAGTTATTATATTCACAAATTTTGTTTCTTTTAGGTTTTTTTTATTAAGGAAATTAAAAACTTCTACATTCGGCCATTCTCATTAAAGTAAATAAAAGTAAATCTAAGTCAACGCTATCCTTGTGAAACTTTTCCAAGAAATAAATAAATAAAGTTTTCGTAATTGTTTACCTGCAGTTATAAAGATTGCATTATTTTTACGTATCTTAAAAAAAACTTTGGTGTGACGTAGGTTTTAGAGAAACGTTTTCTTTTTCGTGTCAACGTTTCTATCTTTATTTATTTAGAAATCGTGAGATGCGGTCTGGTGTGATGTAGGTTTCAGAAAAGCATTTTCTTTATCGTGCCAACGTTTCGATCTTTATTGAGAACATCTTCAGGGCCTGGGATTAACAAATATTGTTTACATATTACAATTACATTTTGGATGTGGAAAAATGAATTTATACAATGCAAAATATATTTTATATATTCAATCAAAGTATTTCTTCTCTCACAAAGTGTTTGTCTTCTGTGTAATTGTGTCATTCTTGCGTGTCGTGTCGAGAGTGCCAGTGAGATTTTACTATTTTGTGTTTATATACGTTGGATTTTGAAGGGGTGGGGAAGGATGTCGGTATAGAAAAGACATTTTTGTATAAGGCTTATAAAGATCGAAACGTTGGCACGAAAAAGAAAATGTTTTTCTGAAACCTACATCACACCAGACTGCATCTCACGATTTCTAAATAAATATCGATTAACGGTCACTAATCACCAGACGTTTCGATCTTTATTGAGATCATCTTCTGGGCTCAAAGTATTTGTTTTCTGTGTAGATGTCTCATTATTGAGTGTCATGCTGAGAATGACACCAACGTCAAGGCCTTACATTTAAAAAGCTGGTGCATTGGGGCTTAAGTCACCTAGCTTTTGACATTCCCTGGAACCTAACTTCGGCAGCGGTTGGATAATGTTCTGATCCCGTACTTTCAAAATCGTGACTTAAACCTAAAACCATTGAGTCATTAGCTCAATCCTGAATGCATGTGTATGTACAGAATAATGTTGATATAAATCAATCTTTAAGATAAAGTGTAACATTTTTAAAGAAAATGTTTACAAGATTAAGATATTATTAATTTATACAACAACTTTGTATGTCTAATTGTATTTGTACCATATTTTCTTTGATAAGAGAGTTTATTAACATAGTTAGAAAATAATGTTGGAAAATTGTTTAACATTTCATATTTTATGTCATCAATTTTATATTCTCTTTATCTAATTAGTAAAATAATTTTTCAAAAACATCAGTTACAATTGTGGGACATTTCTTTTTGTTTATTTAGTTGTTTATTTACCTCTGAAGATGACGAACCTCCAATCAAACTGCAATCACCTTAAATGAAAGTAGGAAATACAATTATTCAGAAATCGTGAGATGCGGTCTGGTGTGATGTAGGTTTCAGAAAAACAT